CTGGTGTTGATTTTGCGACTAAATTGGCATTTTAGCCAAAAGAAACAATACGCTAACCAGATTTAAGCGTAATCAGATTGTTAATGGACTGGCATTTAAATTGAAAGCTTTAATTTTGGTCACTTGTCCAGCTGAAGAATAATTAGAATCCGTTGGCAATAAAGCAGCAATTTAGTATTCGGCTATTATTCAAGGTTTAATTCTGCAAAAACAATTATGGCTGCGTACACTGCAAAAAATGAAGCGTATGCGAACAGCTTATATGCATTTAGTTTCCACCATTATTGTTTTTTTGTGGTAAGTGTAGCAATATGAAATTAGGCTTAAGCTGTGATTTAAGGCGGAAAGGTAAATTTAATGCTCCCACTGCCTTGAAACGTATAATTTTGTATTACTGGAAACAGTATAGAATTACTGGGAACTTCAGTCTCGAAATGCGGAGCAATTGGGGTGAGAACTTTGGGGCGTGCATGTTAGAGGTGAACTCCGATCGTCGGAGCGTTCAACATTTGTATCCTATGTGGCAGAGCCGTAAATCCCGGAGTCGCAACTCGGTGACCCCATTCATCAAAGTGTCGCAGCAGCTGGCGAGCGGAATCTTTTGTCATTTGCTGTCAAATCGCAGGGATTTGATGAGGGGCGGACTCGGGGCGGAAAAACTAATACGTGCTGGAAGTCAGCAGAGCAACATGTAAAACATCGGCAGTGGCAAGGTCGGAAGGGTGGCCAAATCCAGGTGGAAGGTGGCAGGTGGAAGGTGGCAGGTGGAAGGGTTCACCCCCCGCTCGTCGAGCGTCTCTAATGAGTGGCAATAAAGCAAGTGTGGCAGGTGACACCGCACTACACACGTCGAACCGTCGAACAATTTGCACAGTATAATTGTTGACACTCCCCCGATGCGTGAATACTGGTATATGAAGCATGTATGGTGTGCGGTGTGCCTATATTTATTTGTGACTGCGTGCGTGTCATTAGTGGCCGTCCGAATGGAGCCAGAGTCCTGTCAGTCTTCTCCCCTCCGCTCCTCCAGCTAATAATACAACTTTTATTTATTTTGGGCTTTTCCCCAACTGACCGAGGGCCAACAAAGCGCCTGCAAAGCAAACAGCCCGCAGAAATAAAAGGCCCCATAGAAAGAGGGGCACTGGGAGGGCGGCGAGTGGGCGGCAGTGGGTGGGAAGTGGGTGGCGTGTTCGGTGGACCGTGGCATATTTGTCATAATCAGCGTTTAGGCATAAGCATAAATTTGAATGAGTGCGCACAGTGGTGGCGGTGGAGGGTCAAGGCCCACATTGTTTGAGCATCCTTATCACATTCTAGGCATTCTTTTTGGCCAGAGATGGGCAGAGCAGGACTCTGGTGAAGGCTATAAGGGCGAGTGGTTCGATCGCTCTGAAAGGATATCACCGACCTACTATTAGCATGTAAAAACATTTATAGTCAAAGTAAACTCCTGTTTCAGTTCTAACCTTTCGCTGCATGTATCCTACTCCCATGTTTCATTCTTTTTGTGACATTTCCGAGCCATCACAAGAAATTCTGGAAAAGTGCGAGTCAACTTTGAAATGAGCTTTGCAGTTGCGGAATCTGGCTTCCAGCGACGAGCGGATAGCTCCGGATACCCCAGTGCACGGGTATGCGCACAAAGCAGGACTCATCTATGCAGGGACATGGCTGACCCGCACCCCGCACCACGCACCCCGGGATCAGGAATTTGCGATTGACAGGAGTCGCGTCGCCGGCGGACGAGCTCCGTGCGCAAATATTTGACTGGGGAAGTCCGGGGACTGCAGGAGGTCGCGAAACCCAGAATGGAAAGGGAGGAGCCTATCGGGCCAAGTCCATGTTTGGGGAGATCGGCCGTGTTTGGCCATAATTTTGATGTGTGCATAAAAATGTTTTTCGATTTCCTTCGACACACATAAATTCCTGGCCGGGTCACGTGCGAGCAGGTGTTGGCCGCCAGCTCGGGCATTGTCTTTTGGCCACTTTCTGCGAGATCCCGATGACAAGGCGGCGCATCGGGCGGAATCAATAAGTGGGCCGGGAGGCCAGAACACTGGAGCTTTATTTTTGTACAAATATTTATTGCATTTTGTTGATTTTCTGGCGAAAAATCTAGCCAAAACGGTTTCCGTTTGTCATAAATTTGTGGGCCACGCCGCCATAGAAACACATTTAAACTGAAATTCGGCCGATTTGCTTTGTATGTTCTGGCATTTTTCCGGGTATGTTTTGCCAGCGATTGCATAATAACATCGTTTGTGGAATGGCCCACAGTGGCAATAAATTAACATTTTATATGGAATGTGGTTTTGGCGCGTGCGAGTGTGCGAGTGTGTGAGTGTGTGGCCTTTTCCACTATGCAGTTGGCTAAGCCTTTTATGGCGCGATTATCGGGCAGAAACATTTTTGGCATTCCAATAAGCAGTTATTCAAAGCGGATTTGCCAGGCCCGAGCATCCGAGCTGAGGTCTCCAAGGAATCCTTGAACATAACTTAACTCAGGTTGCATACTTTTCGGGGCCGCCCATCTTTCAGTCGAATGGGAGCAGCCAACACTTATGAGGTCCTTCATTGTTTGTTTACTTAAATCTTAAATTATCAACTCATGCAGCAGGCAGAGTGAGTGCAACTGCAATTCTGCATGGCAGGATAACAAGGACATGCGAACAAGACGGAAAGCTCGTAAGCAGAATCTGCAACAGTGGCCAAGTGTTCGCCTCAAGGCGATCCAGGAGCATTTCAATCGTAAAGTTAATACAATCTAGCCCAAAGCGCATTAAATAATTTAATGATGAACCTTAAATAATGTTTTATGCTTGTTTGATTTGGAAGGGTACTTGTGAGTCGGATGTTACAAGCTCGCCCTTCGTTCAGCTTCCACCCACCTCCCTTTATACCTTCTTGGGTGGGTGGTTATGGGGAATGCAAGATGTACGTCACCCACGTCCTCCATGTCCTGAACCACCTCATGCACACCGCTCTGGGCACTCAAAATCACACACACTTACTGGCTGGCAAATGTTTGCGCTTGTGTGCGCGGCCGCGATAGCGTTATTATCCGTTTGATTAGAGAAAACACAACGTTTTGGCCTAATTAGAGTCAGAATGTCAAAACATTGACTTTGGGTATTTGGACGGACATCAAAGAGGAGCCCACTTGGGGGGACAACTTGGCGGCACTTCAATGCCAATGGCGGGCGGAAAGGGAAGCGAAAACAGACCCGCAAACGGCCAAGTCAACAGCAACGAAGACAACGACGAGGTCGATTGCGAGGACGAACGATTCAAATGGCCCAAGCCCATCGGTTGCCAATGAAGCGCAAAAAAAGCGTCTTCAAGTACTTGGCCATTTGCGCCACTCCACCCCACTCCACTGCACTCCAGCTCCCACTGAACTCGCCCACCTCGACCCATTTTTGCCAATGTAAACACATTTGATATCCAGCAGAAACAAAAACGATGGAGAGGGACAGTGGCGTAGCAAGGATTTATTTACAGGGGCGCGACAGAAGTCCCATTCATAGGGCAAGCTAACTTTAAGTATCGCTCTCACTTAAAATCTCTTTCTATTTACTTTATGTGTGGAATACTATCAAAACAATGGCAATTGAGAGGACAGTACTCTAGGGAACCCCTTTTTGGGGCCCCTCTGCGCCCCTGGCTCCAAAGAGCAGTTACATTGGAGGAGAGACTTAGTGCCCAACAACAAAGCGGGTGAGAACTGGAGCTCAAAGGACGAGCGAGAGATTGATTCGGCTCTCATTTGATATTCCTCACTGACCGCTGAATCAAATGGGATTTTTGCCTGCCAAGCGATTTGTTGGCTTTTTGTCTTCATCATCCTTTCTGGTCCTTTCCATTGCTCCCTCGTCCTGCAAGCAGTGCAATAATTTCCCGTTAGCAGCGCACTAAATGCAAGCAAATTTCGTCATTTGGTCGGAACGTGAGTTGGATGCCCAAGGACTTCGCACAGGACCTCTCGGATTAGAGCGAGCTAGAAGCAATTGCATTATGCTTCCACCACTCAAACTCTCAAAATGAGAGGTTGTACTTCTCAGATGGATTCCGAGCCACTTGAAAATAGGTTCTTAAGAATTGGACCTTTTTATTTATAATTTCTCAATAATTTCTCAAACAGTTACCGGTCATTCCGCCTAATTGCCATTTAAGCAGTGTTAGCCCCAACCTTTATTTTAATTGTTTACGTATTTCATCAGATAAATTTCAATCTTTCCCAAGACTCTGTCAGTGTAAGATGCAGCCATGGACATAGTTTGAGTTTGAGTTTGAGTTGGAGTTTTAGTTTGAGGTCGCCACTGCGGGAAGCTCCCAGGCACGTAGCTCCCTGGGCTCCTTAAGCAAGCCAGGCTCCCACTCCACGGGACAGACTTCGCTAAGTCCTTTATAATAAATAGTTGAGTCGCTTTAGGGGATTAGTGCTGAAATTAGTTTATGCCAATGAGATTAGGCATGACATGCCGAATGCCAAGTTCAACTCGTTGGAGAACTGAATCTAGTCGCACATGCTCATGTGTTTAATGCGGAAAACCAGCAAGTAGCTTCCCCCATTTCGTGCTTCGTCAGCAGATTGGAGTTATCTGTTCGGATTAATCCATTTTGTGTGCGTGTGGCATCTTGCTGCCATCTAATGGAATTTCGATTAGGATCTATAAATAGGTCGCAGTTACGTCATTTGTTCTCCCCATTTCACAATGGGATTGAAAGGAGCGTCGAAAGTTGTGGCTGATGCGGTTTTGAATGTTTGGTAATAGTTCCCATGCATATACATATATAATGTTCATGTGACTTCCAATGCTAATTGATAAGCAAACCCACTCTCTTAATGTTTGGCTTTTTCGCTTAACGAGGTAAGCTCTCACACACATCCACACATTTCGCCGGTTCTTGCTCTCCCGCTATATGTGCATATATGGCTCTCCTGTATAGCTTATAGGCATATATACGGAGAGAGCGCAAGTTGTTTATTTCAGTGGCGATCCGTCTGTTGACTGGCGAAGTCGCTCTCTGAATTTTTTGAGGCCTTCCCGCGCTGCGCAGCTGGATTAGAGTCCCCTACTCCCTCACCCAATCCCAAAATTCCATCATGGTTTTCGTGGAGTTGTTGATATTCGTGGCCTTCGTCGGCTTGCTACTGTACAAATGGTCCGTCTATACCTTCGGGTTCTTCTCGAAGAGGGGCGTGGCCCACGAAAAGCCCATTCCTCTGCTGGGCAATATTCCGTGGTCGGTGCTGATGGCCAATGAGTCGTACATAAAACATAGGTAAGTGCATAAGTGCATTAAAATTAGATCCTTCTAATTACGTTTACCACTTTGTTAGCATTGAGCTGCACTTGCGACTGAAGCAGCACAAGGTCTATGGAGTCTACAACCTGCGGGATCCCCTGTACTACCTCTCCGACCCGGAACTCATTCGCCAGGTGGGCATCAAGAGCTTCGATACCTTTGCCAACCATCGCAAGGGGATCACCGATGGATTCAACGATACCAGCGTGATTTCCAAGAGCTTGCTCAGTCTGCGGGATCGTCGCTGGAAGCACATGCGCAGCACCCTGACGCCCACTTTCACCAGCCTCAAGATCCGCCAGATGTTCGAGCTCATCCATTACTGCAATGTGGAGGCGGTGGACTTCGTGCAGCGCCAACTGGATGCGGGCACTTCCGAGCTGGAGCTGAAGGAATTCTTCACGCGCTACACCAACGACGTGATCGCGACGGCTGCCTTTGGCATCCAGGTGAATTCCTTCAAGGATCCCAACAATGAGTTCTTTTCCATCGGTCAGCGCATCTCGGAGTTCACTTTCTGGGGCGGACTCAAAGTAATGCTGTACATTCTGATGCCGAGGTTGATGAAGGTAAGATACGACCTCTTGATTCTTTATAGCCGATGTAAAACCTTTCCTTTCTTTCAGGCACTTCGCGTTCCCGTGATGGACATGAACAATGTGGACTACTTCAAGAAGCTGGTCTTCGGTGCCATGAAGTGTCGCAAGGAGCAGAGTATCGTGCGGCCCGATATGATCCATCTGCTGATGGAGGCCCAGCGACAGTTTAAGGCAGAGCAGGAAGGATCCACGGAGAGTGGGGCACAGGAGGATAGGGCAGAGTTCAACGATGACGACTTGCTGGCCCAGTGCCTCTTGTTCTTCTCGGCAGGATTCGAAACGGTGGCCACCTGCCTGAGCTTCACCAGCTACGAACTCATGATGAACGCCGATGTGCAGGAGAAGTTGCACGAGGAGATCTTGGCCGTGAAGGAGCAGCTGGGGGAGAAGCCACTGGACTACGACACCCTGATCGGCATGAAGTATCTGGACTGCGTGATCTCCGAGTCGCTGAGAAAGTGGCCACCGGCATTCATCGTGGATCGCATGTGCGGGGCTGATTTCCAGCTGAAGGACGAGGCGGGCGAGGTGGTGGCTAACCTGCGGAAGGACGACCTAGTGCACATAAACGTGGCGGCCCTTCATCACGACCCGGATAACTTCCCGGAACCCGAGGAGTTCCGACCGGAGCGCTTCGACGAGGAGCACAAGCACGAGATACGACAGTTCACGTACCTGCCCTTCGGAGTGGGTCAACGAAGCTGCATTGGCAACCGGCTGGCTCTCATGGAGGTCAAGTCCCTGATCTTCCAGTTGGTCCTGCACTACCAGCTAAAGCCCACGGATCGCACTCCGGCGGACATGATGAGCAGCATCTCCGGCTTTGGAATGGTGCCCCGGGAACTGTTTTGGTGCAAGCTGGAGTCCCGTGGACCCGTTTAATTGATAACACGCCCTAGACACACATAAATATTAATAAAGCGAGAGGAAAGGAAACAAGAACTGACAATTTATTTCATCTGGACACCCATGTGCTGACAAATTTGTCGCGGCCATGTTTCATCCGCCATTCGCTTTGTTTTCCCTGGGTCCCCCGGCTTTACAGTCCATGTCACGGGCAGAGATTCCGGCTAGGAACGGGCGACGAGCCACGTCATAATACTGTCAGGACATGATGGCCTCGTCCAACCACCTAGGTTGTATGTGTTGCGGTTACGCCGCATAAAATAACAAGGGGTGTGGGTTGTAGGCGGTGGGTGGTAGGCGGTAGGCGGTGTCACCAGCCACACATCCGCCCACCCCCACAGCCACCCACTCACACACACGGGACATTAAGGATTATTTATTGGGGTGTATTTTTCAGGCGGCATTAAAATTTTTCGGCACAATATGAATTATATTACACTCGTGTCATAAACTCACTGTCGCAGGGCAGGAAAAGCGTTGTTTGGTGAGGGAAAGGTACTCCTCCTTCGATTTTCCCACCCCCATTAGATTGCCAAACATATGCCAGATAATTAACATCAAGCTGTGCTGCAAGGACACAAAGCAAATTACTAATATGTTTTCCTTCTTCGAGTGCATCGTTTTCCATAACCCTAGGAAACGTGGGTAGCTTTTGGTTACAAATCATAACCCAGTACACTTAATCTACTTTACGACTTTACAACTGCAGTAATGCCGCCAACCTGCTTAGTTTCATCTCCTTACATTTAGTGGTACTTTGTAAGCCCTGTTTACAACGTACTGGCAATCCACTTGGCCTGTAAGTCTGATTAGCTTGAGGAACTTGGCCCAACTTTCTGCATCTATTGATGGCCATGGTGACGGTGGTCAAGTCCGGAGCACGCCTATGGTCATTAGGCTAAGACCCTGGGGCCGTAAAAAGGCAAGGCAATTACCAGATATGGCCGTGCAAGCAGTCACACACCCACTCACCCACTCACCCATTTCCCATTCGCACAATGTAACGCACGTAATTAGTTGCATATAACTTGGGGCCTCGAGATTCGTAAAACTTTCAACGCGCTTCAAATTAGTTGGATGTTTTTTATTGGCAGCCTTGTTGTCGTCCTCGCTGCAACAATGTTGCCCATGCAAAGCGGGTCTGGTCTGGGGTGGTCTGGTCGGATTGAGTCACATGTGGAGGAGCAAATAGGCCGGCGGCAATCCCACATGGACGTGGAAGAGGATGTGTGCAAGTCTACCACAATATTTGCTTAAAAATGCGGCAAAGGCAGTGGAAAGTGGAATTAAAGCGAAAAGTTTGCGAGATGCTGGCGGGGATAACTAAGCAAACGCTTTGCGGTTCTGGCCGTTCGTTTTATGGCCCAAGTTAGACCGTTTCCCAGCTTCCCAGCTTCCCAGTTTCCCAGCATCTCAGTTTCCCAGCTTGTCGCCCGCAGCGCCATGTTCCGAGATTCTCCTTCGGTTTCTGGGTGGCTGCAGTCGAGTTCCGGCTGCCTGCCTTGTCAACGCTGCGTATGCGTAATCTTCAGATGCCAACGCTGCGTATGCGTAATCTGGAGAACGTCATAAACTGTGGCGACACCAGCAGAGCTATTTCTACAACTGCGTTCTGTTGCCACTCCTGTTTTCTGTTTTGTTCGCAGCGACCTTATCAATCAATTCACCCACACAAATGTGGCCTGAATACTTATATATCTATATATCCACTCGTATATATGTATTTATATGTATATGTGGTATGTGTGGGGTGTTATCCCCGATACAGAGCAGAGGTCATAAAGAAACTTTGGCGCCGCGACCGCCAGACGCCACCAGAAGCATTACATTTTCCCGGCAGACGCAAAATACAAAAAAGACGGAAAAGACAGAAAACTGAAAAAACATAGAGGAGGAGAGCGAGTGAAACAGAAGGGAAGGGTGCGGGACAAGCAGGGGAATAGGAGAATAACAGCGATGACGACGATACAATGATAATGCCAGGAACAATAAGACGAGGCAGCGGCCAAAAGGAGAATTCTCGGCCGAGCCGAGAATGCTGAGCATTAACAATTTGGCACAATGGCAAACTGTCGCACACGAGTTTTCCCCCTGGCTTTCCTCTTTTCCAGCTTTCCCGACCTCTCCAACGCTTTTCCGCCCTTGCTGCGATGCGTTTTGCGATAAGCACGCAGCGATAGCGTTCGTAGGGCTCTGTGTCAAGTGTTTTCCCTCGTGTATGCGCACATTTTGTGAAAATTTCAGGTCCTGGCCTTCAATCATCGACCAGAAGAGCGGTGACAAATGGATGGAAATGGATAATTATCAGCACTGAAAAATTGTCTTATTTGTGCGCCTCCTACTTGGAAAATTCGTTGGCTCATCGAATCGGAACTCGATATTCCGTGCTTACAATTACTATATGCACTGCAACTGCAGCCGATGCAACGCTGTAATCAAATCCCAACTGTGAGATGTTGGTCCGTAATGGCCTGTAATGTCACAATGGGCCAGGACAATAATGATGCTAAAAGTACACGAATTTCGAAAGTATGTAATTGAATCGCCCGACATTGTTTGTTCCCTCGTAGTCAAATATCTGAGCCCCATCTGAATGTGCTCTCCTCCTGCTTATCGCAGCTTGTAGAGCTTGTATATAAATACGAGCCAGCAGCCCCCGCTCTTCCAGCCCCCCCCCTGCGTCCCCAGTTGGGGGAAAACGTTGTTAACGTCTCTTGAATTCGGTGTAAGCAAGTTTCCCCCATAAGGAAAACAAGGAGGAAAAGCATAATTTGGAGAGTGCTTCAAGAGAAAGTTTCTTGTGTCGTTGGCAAGTTTTTGAAGACCTCCTCCAGAAGCCACACACAAGCACGCACACACAGACAGACTCGCACACTCGCACACACACAATTGCGTCGAGATGGGGAAAATAAACATAATTTTATTTTCGGTTTTTATTTAATGCTCCGCCGCATTACAGCAATTTCTGCAACATTTTTGTTCATGCGATGGCAATCGAGCTCCGTTCGTTGGTCCTGGCTCGTCCTTGCTGCTCCGTCAGCTGCAAGATCCTGGCTAGCATACGACTATACGTACCACTTTTGGGTGCAACACCACGTTCGGTATTATTGTCTAATGCACATTCGGCTGGCCAAGCGTGAATTTGCATTGCTGGCATTGTCATAACTGAGCTGCTGCACATAAATCGCTTTGGTCCACATTTGTGTGACATTTTTCGGTTTGGATCCCCCTTTCCGCCCCCCAGCCGAGCGAGGATGTGGCATGTGGCATGTGGCAGCAGGCAGGAAGCCGTAGGTAAAAACTTTTAATATTTCTCCGCCGCCAGCTGTTGCCATTCCTAAACCCGCGCCCCTGCCCACAACCACATGCAGTGCTGCCAGTTGCATCCGGGCTCTGGATTCCGGACTACCGATTCCCGATTCCGCCCGTAGGTGCAGCACAAACAAGGCGGGAGCGCCGCAGTAGGCCAAATGATTCGCTTGAACTCTACCAGGCCCACGCTGTGAAATTTAATTAGCCGCCCTCGACAATTGTAAATATCTGCTGGATGGTGGATGGTGGATGGAGGATGGAGGATGGCGGAGGCGCGGAAGGAAACGGCTTGGAATGCGGGAACTTGGCTCGGATGAGCGGAATGCGAGTGGCACATCCGCCTGCGAGTTGAAACAATGCCAACTGGCCAAAAGCACAATCCTCTTTGACTTTCTCCCACTTGGGCACTCTTACATGGAGGAAAACGTCAAAGAACTTCTGTCTCAGCCAAATCAACTCGATACTTTCACTTGGCATCACGTTGTGCCCGAAAGCATTAAAGGCGTTTCATTTAACTGGAAAAGTATCTTTTGTGTGATTGCTTCAATTTAATATTGATTTAGATTGTGCCTCAGGGCCTACAAAATATTGAGTGGGCTTTATAAATGTAAACTGGAGATACCGCAAACGATAACGTGATAATTTAGCATGAAATATTATTGCATTAAATATGTGAACAAATATGAACCCTAAACCAATGGACATTGCAATTGCATTGATTTATTGTTTTCCGTGTACCGTCTTTGCAGCTTTCCCAGCTTTCCCCGACGCCCAGGCCTAATGAGCTGCTTCGGAATGCCGGGAGCGAGTGCAGGTGAGGATTGGTGGAGGAGGAATGGTGGTGGGCGATGGGTCAGGGATGACAGGGGGTGGTTTGGGCATAGGCTTAACTTACTTTTTAGGAAATCCGCCAGTGTCGTGAAGTCGTTTATTTCAACTGCGTTTCAGACGTAAATGAAGTTGGCTTGTGGACCGCCCGCTGGCGGTGTTCCTTGCTCGGTCTTCACTTGGCTTAATTCTTTCTTATTTTTTTCGCCTTGGGCTCCGCATTCACTGCTCTCACCTGTCGCCTCTCCGCTGTCCTGCAGCAGGAAGATTCGCATTAAAATTAAAAGGGAAAGCACAGGAATCTGGAAGCGGCGAGTCTGGCGCGGAATGCCTTTGTTGTCCTGTGGGAAGGGTAATGGTCTGGAGATGGGGTCTTCGGATAACAAAATGCAGGTTGCCGTCCCCGGGGGCGGTCAAAGCCTCGGCTCTGGGCTCAGTATTTCTGGTGGGGTAATTCCGGGATAATAATGATAATAAGTGCGCATAATGGCTCCGGCAGGGTGCTCCTAATCTCCGCCAGCGAGCTTAGCTGCACGCTGTCGTGGCTGTATTGCACATTCGGATAATGTGGCTCACTGGCGGAACCATATTGAATCTAACATTCGCTCTGCTAAGATGCCCTGCTAAGATGGTGAATTGGAGGCGAGGAAGCGGTTGGGGAGCACTTAATAGTTGCCCGGCGTATCCATTAAGTAAACATGACTCGCTGTGCCCGTTGGGCGGATACGGATGTGATATGGATGTGGATGTGGATGTGAATGTGGATATAGACGGGAGGCGACGTGGCCCAGTAGGAGCTTCCTCATCGACCACACTGTCAATGTACATTAGGATTGTTTTGCTCCCAGCTTGAGATTCGCCGAAAAGACGACATGGAAGGGATGGGCACAAATGGGGCAAAGGGCGAAAGCAGGAGCAACGACTTTTTGTTGTTGCGCATAAACGCTGAATATTTAATAATGCAAAGGGATGTGTGCTCGTCCAGACACGAGCAATGAAGTCAACTTAAGCATCGGCACACCGGAGAATTGCCCTTGCTCATTCGCGATGATAACGCCAGCCGGAGCTCGGGGCCCAAAATGCTTTTGATATTTTATTCATGCCCCCAACGCTCCCATCTCGCCGTCAATTGGTATTAGGGCATAATAATTCATTGACGAGTGCCAGGACAACATCGGCCGGCGGCGCTCGAAAGCGGTTTGTAATCCGCACGGCCAATGCCAGAACGTCGAGCGCACAATTAACGGGCTGGTGCTCCTCAGATTCCCAGCTTCCCAGCTACCCAGTCCACACACACAACCGACGAGCGCTTGAACCGCACACACGACGTATACGCAATATTCGCATCAATCATCCGCCAGCGCGTCCACTCGCCTCGACGCACCAATTCCAACTGGCACGCAGCCCGCCTCCGGATGCTGGTGGCACCGAGCTGGAGTCGGATTCGGATTCGGATTCAGTTCGGTTCGGACTCAGCCTCGCTTTCGGAGTGGCATGCAACTCGTGGCACTGGGCCACTGGCACAAGGACGCAGGACGCAGGCGCCCGGAGAGACCGCATCCTTTGGCTGTGGCCCACAGACGGCGTGAAAATGGCCCACAATTAATATGCACAGGCGTCGCCGATGACGAGCTAGTCATTGATAGATTGTCGTAGTGAAATGCAAATTACTTGTCCATAATTGCCCCACAACTGGCAATAGAAATGCGAATTGTTAGGCATCAGGCGACGGATTTACCACTGCAGCCTAGAACATTCGGGCCAACATGGTGATTTCTTATGTTCCAGCTCTGCGCATAATTTAAAAGGGTCCACCATGCTTATTCCTTTATCATGAGCCACGCGGACGAGCTCCACTTGCAATGCTGGCCTGAGCACTCCACACTTTCCGGATCCCCTATTAACTAATTCATGAGCGAAAAAGTGCGCCGGCCATGGCCAAGCACCATGACTGCCAGTCAGATATCGAAATTAATAATTCGCGCCATGCTGCCGGGTGGTGTCCAGGCGGGAAGAGGCGGTAAACATATTTATTTATGCGAATTCCTTTCGCGAGGCTCGTAAATCTCTCGCCACCCTCGCAACTGGAGCCGTGGTCCGAGTATTTATGACGCGACTATTACATACTGTATTATTATTATTAATGCCGCGCACAATGGAGTGCAGCCAGCTGGTCGGGCATATAAATTCTGGTCACCCCAAGCGCAGCACTCCGCAAGTGGCATATTGACAGGTTCAACTCAATGGATAGGAGGGGGAATTAATTAATTTTTCAAAGCCTACTTGAAAACCGTTTACATCTGTGAGTGTGAACTGTTTATTGCCTTATCCAGCCACATATCATACATACCGATTCATACACGTAGGTGTTCCAGACTTGTTTTCGCATTTTTGGGAGCATTAGGCCGTGGAAATCGTGATTTTCCGCCTCGCACTGAGTGACTTCAGAGCAGCTGGGCTCCTCACTACAGTCAACAATGTTCCCGATCAGAGTGTGGATCACCTGCCTGGTGGTTGCTTCCCTCAACCCCATTCCCGGCCACGCCTGGGACTACTGCCAGGAGCACTGGTGTCCGCGTGCCACCGAGCACGTAGCCTGCAACAACAACGGGGTGAGTGGTAGTTACCCCATACGGATCCAGATAGAATATCGAATGCCCTTACGATCCAGACCTTCGGCCCTCATTGCGGAAGGGAGGCCAGACTAGTACCGCTTAGCAACCAGCAGCGGGCGTTCATTGTGCACCAGGTAAACCTATACCGCAACCAGGTGGCCTCGGGCGGATTCTCCGCCTTCGGACCCGCCCACCGAATGGCCAGTGTCCGCTGGGATCCCGAGCTGGCACAGCTGGCTGAGCTGGCGGCCAAGAGGTGCAGTGTGTCCGGCGATGGGTGCCGCAACACCAGGCGATTCAAGCACGTGGGCCAGCTGACGGGTCACGTAATCTTCAGTGCGGGAAGGCACGGCGACTTGGAGCTGCTGCGCCACAAGATCTCAAACTGGTTTGGCCAGTACAAGAGGGCCAACAAGGATCTGCGAGCCGCCGATGCAGCTAGTGATATCACCAGTTTCAGCCAGCTGATTCAGGAAAGTTCCACCCACATGGGATGCGGCGTGCTCCGCCAGAGGAGCCACATGCGGTGGCACCAGCAGTTCATCGTCTGCAACTTTGCTCGCAGGAACATGCCCGGCGAGCAGGTCTACCAGCTGGGTGTGGCCGCCACAGGATGCAGGTCGGGCAGCAATCCTCGCTACCCCAATCTCTGCTCCCTGCAGGAGCATTACGATGTGAACGCCATCGACCGCTTTCACACCAAGCGGCCACTTACGATCAGGATCAAGTACAGTGGCTCAGGTACCCCTCCATCGAACGATTTGGGTGCTGTTCCCGGTGTAGCCTTCCATCCCAATATCAAATTGGGACGTCCTAATATACCTGGAGCTGAATGGGTGGTTTCCTAAATATATTTCCAATGCAGCTCGCATTAAATTAAAAAATTTCACATCTACTGTTTGTGCTTTCCAAGATTGACTACAAGAACTTAGGCGGTACTGGGTCACTGAGCAACTGCTAGTGGGGGTTCTCCTGGCGATTGGGCTCGATGGTGACGCGGGCGTAGGGGCTGCTGGCACCCACCTTGCGGCGCATGGTGACTCCCCGGTGGGGTCTCAGTCCCATGACGATCAGGTAGATGCCCGCGGCGCTGAGGGCGATCAACGAGAGCACCACCAGGCCGTAGGCCCATCTCGGCCAGGTGTCGCAGCTGAAGGCGTCCCCGCGGGCGGAGGTGACCAGCATGCCGCGGATGCGGGCCGGCTTGTAGCAGCGCCCGTTGGTTTGGACCGGGAGCTGCTTCAGCCAGACCAGCTCGCAGTCACACTGCAGCGGCAGACCGTTGAGATCCAGTTCGGCAAGTTGAGCAAAAAGCGGCGCCAGCGTGGAATTAAAGGTGCGCAGCATAGTGCCGCAAAAGCTCAGCGACCGCAGAGCGCTTTTTTTGGTGGAGGTGGTCGTGATGGGTCCAAAGGCCTCCGCGTCCAGGTGGCTGAGCTGACGGCTGTTCTGGAAGCTCAATGTCTCGAGGACATCTACATGGGTCAGGGCATTGGCCACCACCCGCTGGAGCACCGGCATGTCCTCGACGAACAGCTGGCGCACCTGGGTGAGATTGGCCGTGTCCTCCGGCAGCAGCTCCTCCAGCAGATTGTCGCTGATATCCAGGCGGAGTAAAGTCTCCGGCAGCTGTGGGGGAATCCGCCTAAGCTGGTTTCGACGGAGGGAAAGCTCCTTCAGAGGCGCATTTACGGGCAGGTGAAGATCATGTAAGCTGCAGGCGTCCAGCCTCAAGGTGGATAGCTTCCAGTTCACCCCGAGTGCGGTGTACAGATCCTCGCCAGACTCGTTGAAGCGCCGGTTCCAGGACATGTCCAAGGTGCCCAGGACCAAGAGCGGGCCAAACAGCTGGCCGGGCAGCAAGTGAAGATTGTTGTGGGCTAGGTCAAGGACCTGCAGATGCGGTAATCCGTCAAAGGATCCGGCCTCCAGCTTGCCAATGCTGTTCCAGCCCAGGTACAGCTCCCTCAAGCTGGTCAGTTGCTTGAAGTTGCCCGCCACTAACTGCGTAACGTTGTTGTGCCTCAGGTTCAGCTGGTGCAGGCTGTCGCTGGTGAAGACCGGCACCGAGTCCAGGGCGTTCCAGGACAGCTCCAGGGAGTCGATGTACAGGGGCAGCAGCGGGGAGAGATCCGCCGCCCTGAAGTCCTTGTAGCTGCAGTCGATGCGCAGCGCTCGGTTTCCCCAGGGCGAAGCACTCACGTTGCTGCACTCGCAGGAGCGGCGGGAGTTCCTCGAGGACTCCGGGTAGCAGAAGCGGTCCGTCTCCGCCGCATCGATGGTCTCCGCCTGGGCGACGTGGGCTGCCAGCAGCTGCGTCAGCAGCAGGGCAAAGGTCAGCCCTCTCACAACTTCCAAACTCGCCATCGCAAAGGTTCTGGGTGCACTGAATGAGTGGGTGAGTGGGTGAGTGCTCGCAGCTAGTGGCACTATCATATCTTATCGCGTGGCGGAAAAGCTCCCTCACAGTCTGAGTCGATTTTTCCAATAAGTGTATCAGCAAAACACTTTGGTCTTGCACTGGTTGGATTACTCATTGGAATACATTTGGACAGGGAGCTTGGTGGTGAGTCGAAGCCCCGGCATTTGAATTGCTGATAAGATAGCACGGCAGAGCTTTGCCTTTTATCTTTCCCTCTCTCAGCAAATAGCTCCCCGCCCACGCTTATCGCCCTTGCAGCTTTTCTTATCGCCGATATCTTCATTAATCATTGCCCACACTGCGCCACTACGGGTTAGTTCGGACTCACCATATTGATGGATCTACGAAGTCGCAATTTCGCACTTCGAGAAGTCGAGGCTTAGTTTCCACTCAAAAGTCAGGTCAAATCCCATCTGGATGGGAAGTTATCCAGCTCACTGCATCCAGAAGTCGCCACTTGAGCCCGATTCGTAATTACGCCTCATGCTTTTCGCTGGGGCTTTATGCTGATTGCTGGATATGTCGAGGGATGTCCTCCAACTCCAGGGATTAAGTGCGCGGTTCCCATGCCGCCTAATTGCTGAAGTCGCAGGCGGAATATGCCTGACAAAGTCTTTTACTTTAAAGGTTTACTTGAACACTCAGAAGGGCGTTAGAAAGGCGCCAACTAAGTGGACACCTTAAGGATCAAAGAGCGTGCCACAAAACTGGGTAACTGAAGTTAATCATTTTGGAAAAGTATCTGCGCGTCGAGCTTCCCTAACGAACTTTTGGTGCCCTATTTACATTTGCAATTGCTGTGGAACTCTTCTTTGTGTCAATGGAAAATTGATGAGGCTTACATAAGTGCGCAGGCATAGGCATTTGCATAAATTAGGCGCTTCCAAGACTCACTCCCTCCCAGTGACTTACATCTTGACTTTTCCTTTGGAGCCTGGGGTTGGGGCAGCCAACGCCAACACATGTAAGGCATTTAATGAGCTGTGTGTGCTTAAATTTATTGAAAATGCCACGCACATGCTGGGTCTGTCGTTATTACAAGCAAAATGTATTTTTAACTAAAATCCCATTAATTACGGGGAATGTGGGCTCAGTGTGTGAGTGTGTGAGTGTGTGTGTAATTACGGCATTACGAGCAATTTAATTAAGGCCCAATTTTCGCACATCTGCAATAATGGAATTGTTAATTAATAGCCCGAATCAAAAACGGCCATCAATGGGGCAGCTGTCGAGCTTAGAAGGCACTGGACGCACTGTGGACATCGGGAAATAAAATCCCATCCGAACGTGCCAAACATGGCAGGTCCTGCCGACTCGCCGGCTGAATATTTATGAAAATTTAAATATTAAATTGCTTTCTGATGGCCACCGCGAGCGTGCAAACTAGAGCTGGCCATCGATGGCAGAATGCAATTTCCCGCCGGACAGCATGTGAAATCATTAAGAGCGCTTGATTATCCGCAGGCGAGCGCATTGTCCTGCGTCATCCTGCAATTGACTATAATGGTGCCAGCCGACGGTCACAGCAAGCAGATACACTTGTCCGTATATGTACATATGTGTATATGTATATGTATGTGCCTTGCCGGCGACAGTTTATGGCGCCCTAATTGAATCGCTTGTCATGCATTTGTCTAATAATGGCGCATTAATTTGCCATAATGCGGGCCGGCTTCAGCTTCCGCTGCCCGGAAGTCGTCAGTGGCTGATGGCGCCACATCCAGGACTCTCCGCAGGATCTGCGCCCAGATGTATGCTAAACATTTCTGTCATGGCCTGTTAACTCGCTGCCCAGTGTGCAGCAAAAGCCTGCACACTCGCTCGCTTTCTAATTGCCTCTGAAAGCGCTTCTGTCACGCAATTTAAAACTCGTAATTCCGGCGGGCTGGGCTAAATTCATTAGTCTGGCTTTAAGAGCACCCATTAACCCGCATACCCGAGCACACACACTCACCCAAACGCACACACACACACACGAGCACACAGTGCGCACTTGCGGTTGCCATTGGGATGGGATATCACTCGAATTCGCTGCGCTCAATTTAATCGGCAAATTTAAAGAAAATTATTGTCTCTAATGGGCAGACGTGCCCACAGAATGCGACCTTAGACCGCAGCAGGCAGCAGGCAGTGGGCTGGAATCCCGAGGCGGCAGTATATTGGATCTGGCGCAGATCCAGCTGATAACAACTGAATAATGAACAAATAATGACCGGCAACCTTCTGCCCGCTCAAATATTAAGTATACGCCGGGGAGGCCAGGAGTGGGTAGCAGTGTACGAGTTTTCCCTGGCATAATGGATGAAGAATGGCTGTAATGCTCAAGCTTACAAGTCCAATAATCCGGAACATAGCTCGAACGCAGAGCTACGATTTTAATGTTAATTAGGGAGATGTTTGACGTGTTTACATACTCCCTAGCATGTGGGAATTATTTGAGTAGTGATTTCCGCATTATGCTATTAATTAATTTGGACTGAACACATTTCTTGTTAGCACAGGACGTGTAAATGAAGACCTTTCCCTTTGAACCATTGATTGCTAGCACATGCCCTAAAGATATCCGACGTCGAAGGGTATAACTTTCTGTTTTGAGTAATCATTTCCCAATTGTTATCCTATGGCCTGCGGTTCCTGGCCCCTCTGCATTTTTATAGCCACCTCCACGAAAAGGCAATTTGCGGCATGCACCTCTTGTTGCTCCACTGCCAACATGCAGGAGCTGGCTGCACCGGACTAGCACTCCGAAAGTGTTGCTCCTGATTCGTTAGTCCTTGCCAAGCACTGCCCTGGTTGCTCCGTCAACAGTGACCGGCTGCTCCGTAATTTGATTTGCTTTGGCCGATTGCTGCTGCGACTACATTGTTTCTCTGTCGGATACCCGGCTGCACTAATTAATTTTGCCGAGCAAACAAAGAAGACAAGGTCCTGGGAGATAGGTCTGCATTGTTTTCGGCTTTCGGAGCCCATAAATGTCAGTCGAGGCTGCATTGCCCAATTCAATCCAGCTGTCAATGCGATTTGCCCTCCAATGATATAGATAGCCGCTTAGTTCCCAAGGAAAGCCGAAGATTTATGGCCAGTTGCCAAAAGCCCACAAAATTAATGTACTTCACAGTTGAGTTTAGCAGCTGTGTGTTGTTGTGTGTTGCTGTGCGAGCGTGTGTGTTTGCCCAGCCAGCCTGTCCGTGTGTCCGTGTGTCCGTGTGTGTTTGGGCCCTAATGAAGTTGTTAATGCGAGTGCTGTCCTGCCAATTCTGCGTCGCCGTGGTTTCCTGGTACTTGCCTGCACTCGAGTCCTTTCGCCGGCGTAAAGTACACACGAAAATCTAATAAGACGCTTACGTCTGTTGCTGTTTGGGTTTGTTTGGGCTTGGGTTTGTGTGGGCTTGCGCTTCACACCCTTTCGAGGTCCTTCGGAGGTCCTGCCCCAAGGCTCCGGGCTCTTACATAAGCCATTAGCCAGCGGAGAACG